AATTCAAATTATGGTTGAACACGCAAGGGTTGGGCTGTCGAAGACTTTAAAAGGAAGGCGGGCTGATGAATGGTTTGAGGAAAAGTTTTAGATAGATAGAATTACTCATGACCAGCAAAGGAAGGAGGATGCAGGGACTGGACCATCACAAAGCTTTAATAGACCGGGGCTTTATTTTAGGGTCGAGCTCGGGTAAAATACAGAGTTGGGCTTGCCCGATGACCCAGCCAATGGAGGAAAACCCTAGAAGCTGCAGGTTTAGGAGGCGGATTGAGAAGTGCATGGCGGAACCAACAGAGAATTCACCATGTGTTTCATGTATTCCAGTTGAAGAATTACGCTACGAGCAAGCAGGCTGTTTTGGTAGTTCCATTGATGTTGAAGGAATGATAATGGTTAAACATCGCTTTTGCACAAAAAAGGCAAGTGATCTGAGATGGTTAGACTAGAGATCAAGTTCTGGTTCAATGGATCGGAAATGGTTCACCCAACAATACTTATTAAGATTTCGAGTTCCTACAACAACATTTTCCTAATTTCAACCTTTAGTATAAGGTTGTCTTTCGACCGAAGGATATTGTTAAAGAGAAGTAAAATCATGATATTAAAAAAAAAAAAATCAGGATATTAAAGAGGAAATAAATTAAAGTGTTAAAGATGAAATAAATCAGAATGTTAGAAAGAAAATAAGTCAGAATGTTAGAAAAGAAATAAATCAGGTTAAAAGGAAAAGTTATATCTTTTGGAATTAATTGTAATTAATTATCTTTTTTTTTTATCTTATAAGACCTATATATATAGGATTGTAATATTTAATAAATTACACATCAATTAAAAAATCATTCTTATTCCACTTTCATTGCCGAAATAAAAACCTAAAAAAAGCCAACCTTGATAGTAAACCACCACCCTCTTGCCATCAACCACCATAGCACTTAATTGGTATTCTGTTTGTTCCTTCATAGAGAAATATTTATTCGAAATCACAGCCTAAGAGCCATTTTGAATATCTTTCTTTGATTCCTAAACCCAACAAGGCATTGATGCATACAATATTTTTGTTCCAAAAATGCGATGGAGAATGGATGTCAGAAAGATACTTCATATAGTTTCTTATGATTTAATTTAATATTGTATTGAATTTTAAAAAATAGAAAACTCTCCCCTTTTTCTATCATATATGTATAAAAGCAAATAGAAAAAAATTTGAAATGTATGTCTTGGTTCAACTTATGAAATGTGAAATTAAAAGATATATTCTGTAGTTTTATATTTATCTAAAGAAAATATAACAAAGAAGACAATAAATAATAAAAAAATGAAAGAACAAAGTGTAAAAAATTAAAATAGTTTCTTTTTTTTAGTATTTTTTCATGAAAAACAAACATGAGATAATAAATCTAGTTTTTTACTAAGATTTCGAGTAGCTATCGTTAGTTTTTTACTAAGATTTCGAGTAGCTATCCCAAATTTAAATTGATTATGTTTCACTTCTTATTTAGAGAAAGACGATCAAATAATTCTCAATCATGGCCCTTACAGATTGGATCATCCATATAATATATAAAAAGAAACTTCAAATACTTGATATTTTTCTCTTTTTATTTAAAAAAATGATATTTTTCTCTTTTTATTTAAAAAATAATATTTTTCTCTTTGAAATATCAGTTCTAGTGACAGTTTCATTAGACATACTACAACTAGAATCTCTCTTTTACCCGACCTAGTTCCTTCACTACTGCAAGTTCCAGTTAGGTCTAGGCATAATACACTTTTTAGTTATTGGAAGGACCCAAATATTATTTTTTCTAACTCAATGGTAGAGTAGTCGGCTTTTACGTGTGACTAACATTTTTTACATATTTGTATGAAATGAAGGATTTGTCTATATCAATGGTAGAGTTTGTAAGACCATTATTGATCCTGAAATGAAGGAATGAAAAAAACATGTTCGTATCAATAGAGAATTATGATAAAATATTTTTTTTTTGGATCGGTACAAACCCGTGTATGAATTCTTGATCTGGAAAAAAATGAATTAAATTCAAATTTTAATTTAAAGTTGGGTCAAGTGAATAAATAGATAAACCCATATGCCTCAATGAGAGAGAAACAAAAAGCAACGAGATTTTGTTCACAATTTGGATGATTACCCAATCTAATTTAATATTAAAACTAACTTAGTGCCTAATGCGAGAAGGACTTTGCTCATACACGGATTATCAATTTTGTAACTATATGCGTATGATTCCGTAAAGAATGAGAAATTGGGTTTTTTCAATAAATGAGAGAAATTCAAAAAAAGAAAATGCTCAGGATGGAAATGAGGGAATGTCTACAATACTTGGGTTGAATCAGATACAACCTCCACCACCAGCTAGCCTTCATAGTTAGCCCTAGAAGTCACTGTTTCTCCTTTCATCGCCATAGTTCCAAGTAGCCACAGTCGCCATAGACATCATCTACAACTCATTTTGTCACAACTCTTTGCGTAGAGCATACATGTCGATAATCAGTATCCTTTTGGCAACTCTTGTCTAGATCCAAGCCAAGCCGAGTCAAGGTGGATTCATTGAGTTGACTCAAAGCAAACTTATTGTTTTCGTCATGGAGCCAAATTACTGGAGCAATTTGCATGATAATTTCAAATCTTAG